GCTGGGCTCGTTGTGTTCACTCCCAGGGGAACTACTTCGAGGGTGATGGATGAATTTAATACCTGAGATAAGTGTACGGGTTTTTATAGGCGCAGTCTGGAAACCTTTCGATCGCACCTCGTATCTACGCTCAGTGGATGTTCTCACCAGTATTGTGGTTGAAAAAACAAAACTGAAAATTTTACAGAAGTACCCCGGTTGTCGATTCGATAACGTGCATCTCAAACTTCGTAACCTTTGTACGTGTGTTCACTGTGATTGGGCTGCAACATCTCCGTCGCCCGTGAGAGGACCGCAGTTAACAGCGAGCCTCAGGCGCTTAAAGTTTGTAACATTTTGAGTGATGTGAGGAAATGAAACAAATTTGGAGTTATAGAATCAGGTTTATGGTTCGGAGCGATTTATTTGCACAAATTCTGCACTGCAAGATGTGAGGTGTTTTAGACTTCATTATTTTCGTAATATTCCACGTTCTGTCCCCGGCTTCCCCAAAGTCTTTGTGGGGGAGGGATATACATTTTCTTTTGCTTCGAAAACGTTTCTTGTACATTTACATATATAGGTCATGTCACCTTTGAGAGTGAGAATTCTCAGTCATATCATGGCAATCAATGACTATGACTTATTACTCTTTATTAAAGAAAGTTGCTGCCGACATATTATTAGGTGGAGTAATTCTATTAGTTTTCAGATGTCTCTCAGTAGGCACGGGTCCTCTGAAAACCATAAATACATTAATAATTTTCTTGTAATAACACTAATCCAACATTTGCACTCATTGTTCCTTATGTAACAAACGTTAAGCAGCCAAATAAAATCTAACCTCACTAACGGTGCATCTGTAATTTCAGTGACTGTGTGGAAAAGTACTTCTTTCGTTCTTTCTTTCTTCCTTTCTTTCTGTCGAATTAACTCAACTGTAATGCGTTGAAATCGCGTTGATGAGATCATTTTTGAATTTCGGCAGGAGACACTATTATGGATGAGGTTATTTTCCTCACGTCGCTAGTTTCGAGAAGGTATCTGAAAGAAAGCAATATATGCTTCCTCTCGGTTCCCTTCGGCACATAAATCTTCCATCATCTTTCCTTATCGACATTTGATGCTACGTTCCCTCAATAGTTGATACATCATCGTAAAATAAGACTATGAACAAACTAGGAACATGGAAATCGAATAGAAATCCCTGTGTTCCATCTGCCGTAAAGAAAAAGGTCTGTGTAAGAATGAGTGTTTGGTCTCTTGGCCCACGTGATGTCTGCCAGTACCGCCTTCGTAGTGCAGTCCCCAATATTTGGATCAAGTCGAGGCACTAAAGGTTGCCCCCTACCCCCGTCCAGATACCCACACGTGGCAACACTACGCCGTAATAAAACATTTAAGGTCAGCTTTATTAAGGTAATGTGAGTCATTGCGACATGGATGTAGGGGTGTCGTATTTGGCTGTGGAAGTGCGCGAGCTATAGTCCGATGCCACAAGGGCTGATGGTTCGCTGCACAGCCATGTTGAAACAAAAACATGTTGTGATTACAGTATCATGTGTTCTTGGCACGAAATAAGCACCGTGTCAGTTAACCCTTCCTAATGCTTCAACTTCGAAACTACTGAACGGATTTCTACGATATTGGCATTAGAAGTTTGCACTAAAAGCTGCCTTGTGAAGTTAATTGTGAGTTGTCGGTCCAGTTACATAACCGCAACTTTACTTGAATATAGAATCAAACTTCGTTCTTTCCCCAAAAATCTGATCTTGTAACGAAACAAATTTGTACTTGGTATCTCATAAAGGTCTACAAATTTTAGTGAAACATTTACTACACAGTTTGTTTAATGAAATAGGAGAAAATATACTTTCTTGACTCTGCATTATACTATATTTACTGACTGTAAAATAATACATTTGTGTCTATAATGATACCAGTTGTAATGAAGTAATCAGTAAACTGATTCATTGCATGGAGCACAGTCCTTCTTGAGAAGCTAATATTTCAAGTCCAAGGCTCATTGTAACATGCATTTTTTTTTCTGGAGGGGTTATTGGTCCCTATCCCCAGCCCCAAAGCCGTGTGACCACCTCTTGTCTGCAACTTCATATTCAAAGCTACCAAGCACATCTGGATCCCATTTTCTCCATCATTTTCACCTCCCACACTAAGCAACAAGAGTCATGTGTTAAATAATTTAGTTCATTATCAGTGACAATCCCATCTACTGATAGGGTGTAAAAGAGTAGGCAAATATTATTTATAAAGTGAAGAAGCACTTCATCCAGCCTGGGTATTATTTACTGATTTATTTTCTGTTTTTATGAGGAGTGAACAATGAGGATCAGTTCCTTGCAAAAGCAGGAATTTTTCTGTGTACCACTACATACAGCAGGTGCTGGGACGACCCATTCTATTTTCTGTGGCCTCAGCCACTGCTCTACCATCAGAATCAGGGCTGTGGAGTCAGTACTAAAACCTCCGACTCCTTCATAAAAGCTCAATATATGTTAATAATGGTAAACCTACCAAAATGGTAAATGGTACCATAAGAGATTTCATCACCACCACGTGAATCATCAGGCTACTTTTTAGACTTATAACCTATATTTAAATATAAGTCTAATGGTTATTGCAGAAATCGGTTGATTTGTAGACAGTTTGTATTGTTAAGGTACTGGAGCCAAAGTTACAAAGAATTATTCCCACACCATGTGGCTCAGCGCGTTGTTGAATCTTCCTAAGCATGAGGTTTCCGGCAGCTCACACGGTAGCGAAAGTGTTCTTAAGATTTTATATCGAGGTCAAAGTTGGTACATTTTTACCGACTCTGCAGCCCTGATCAGAATAATAGATCATATCTATCAAATACAGAACTTCTTCAAAATAATTGTATCTGTCTTGATTTTTAATGTAGAAATGAGATGATATGGTAGCAGTTTATGAATTGAATTGACTTTACTTGTGCTAAATTAATGTTTAATTTCATACAGCTTGGTTAAGTAACCATCTGGTTTGTTCAAAATGAAAGTGTTTTTGTTTCCAGGTGTACTCTTCCGCCAAACTTGCTTATCATTCATATACCTTCTCCTGCTACTACTCAAGTCCAAGGCTCATTGTAACATGCATTTTTTTTTCTGGAGGGGTTATTGGTCCCTATCCCCAGCCCCAAAGCCGTGTGACCACCTCTTGTCTGCAACTTCATATTCAAAGCTACCAAGCACATCTGGATCCCATTTTCTCCATCATTTTCACCTCCCACACTAAGCAACAAGAGTCATGTGTTAAATAATTTAGTTCATTATCAGTGACAATCCCATCTACTGATAGGGTGTAAAAGAGTAGGCAAATATTATTTATAAAGTGAAGAAGCACTTCATCCAGCCTGGGTATTATTTACTGATTTATTTTCTGTTTTTATGAGGAGTGAACAATGAGGATCAGTTCCTTGCAAAAGCAGGAATTTTTCTGTGTACCACTACATACAGCAGGTGCTGGGACGACCCATTCTATTTTCTGTGGCCTCAGCCACTGCTCTACCATCAGAATCAGGGCTGTGGAGTCAGTACTAAAACCTCCGACTCCTTCATAAAAGCTCAATATATGTTAATAATGGTAAACCTACCAAAATGGTAAATGGTACCATAAGAGATTTCATCACCACCACGTGAATCATCAGGCTACTTTTTAGACTTATAACCTATATTTAAATATAAGTCTAATGGTTATTGCAGAAATCGGTTGATTTGTAGACAGTTTGTATTGTTAAGGTACTGGAGCCAAAGTTACAAAGAATTATTCCCACACCATGTGGCTCAGCGCGTTGTTGAATCTTCCTAAGCATGAGGTTTCCGGCAGCTCACACGGTAGCGAAAGTGTTCTTAAGATTTTATATCGAGGTCAAAGTTGGTACATTTTTACCGACTCTGCAGCCCTGATCAGAATAATAGATCATATCTATCAAATACAGAACTTCTTCAAAATAATTGTATCTGTCTTGATTTTTAATGTAGAAATGAGATGATATGGTAGCAGTTTATGAATTGAATTGACTTTACTTGTGCTAAATTAATGTTTAATTTCATACAGCTTGGTTAAGTAACCATCTGGTTTGTTCAAAATGAAAGTGTTTTTGTTTCCAGGTGTACTCTTCCGCCAAACTTGCTTATCATTCATATACCTTCTCCTGCTACTACTGCTGCCTATGGTGAGGATACCAACACACAAGACCATGGCCAGTAAGTGTTTTCTAGTACCACTGCAAATCATTGTGCTTCTTAGGTGGAATCTGACACTCCTCCCATCAAGTCATGCCCACAGAGATTCAGAAAATCTGACAAACCTACACCATAAACAAATAACAAGTGAAACTTACCCACACTGTAGCAGATGCTGGGAATGCTGTCTGTTTTACAAGCATTTATGACATTTTTGTAAAAATTTAACAAGTTTATATTCTTGCATTGAAGTTCTTTGAAAGTAGACAGAACTTCCCTTCAAACATTATCCTTCATTTCTTAAGTAGTGTGAGTTTGATCTGTATACATTTTGCTTTACTATTCCCCAGTGTTACACTGGTTGAAGCTGGAGTTTCATGGCCGGAAATCACTACTAATAATTCTGTTCTCCAATATTGCCCTCAAAGAGTCCTTGTTTTATGAGCAGTAGTGGAGTCCTGATGGAAGGATTCATGTTGACATTCATCTGTTTGCTGTTGAAAGTGTTTGTTGGCAGAGAATTTGCTCCATGTGTCTTTAACGCTTTGAAGACAAAGCATATCAGAATAATATTTAAGAGTTTAGTCCATACCACTTTACAAAATATAACACTGCGCTATAACAGGAATCATCTGATTAATGCTGTTTACAGTGAGAATCATACAAAACTCATAAATATGAAATGAAAAGTTATTGACTGTTGAATCAGGTGGGACACATTGTTTCCATTAGACTTCAAAGGGTTACATTTTTCGTCACTTTCCTGAGCACTCAGACTTTCGAAATTTTGAGTCTTTTTGCCCCAGTAAGGATCCTGTCCATTTTATCTCTGTTTTTTGAACAGTCTCTCTATGAGGAACTTTCAACATCTTCAAATTTATGTCAGAATCTTCAGCTTACTTTTTTGCAGAATCATTCACATAGATACAGGAACACTCTGTATGTCACAGGTGGCAATTTGACACAGACAATTACAAGACTTTTTTGCATGTCCAGTAAAGTAATTGGAGATAAAACAGGTTAAATAAATGGTTGTGCCGTCAAAGAAACACTGTATTAAAAGCACTCACAATTGGTCTGATGCATTTTGGGGTTCATATGGCAAGGCCTTTTGGATTTAAGTATAATTTGTACTTTTTTATTTTTTTATCCGACGCCAGACTTAAGCCTCTCAGCCATTGGTCTATTTCTGGCAGCCAAATACAGATTTGAATCGGCGATAAAACCAGCAAAATGTTTCACAGTATTAATGTCTACAATGTCACTAAGACCTGGGCACATAGCGAGGTGGGTTACAGTCATATCCGAAAGTCTGCATAATGGGCAAGTGGATGAGTCCTCCATTCCAATTCGATGAAGATGCTTCTGAAGGTAGTCATGACCCATAATCATCCTGAAGCATGCAACTCCTACAGCTCTGGGTAAATCCTGAGGAATCCGTGAAGTAATCAAAGAGCTCCAACTATAAGTTGTACTATTAGTATATTTATAGAAAATGTAGGGTGATGATTTGTGTTTGTGTTTTTTCAGGTGCCACAGGCCAATATCTGCGAGCAGTGATGGTGCTAAGTTTTCTCACATCTATAGCACAACTTTCATTTCAGATTGTGCTGTTATCTATGCCTCCATATGGAAACTTTTTAAAAGAAAACAGTAAGATCTTAAAAATTTATGTAAATGAGTATTCATAATTGTACATAACATTTACTAACAAGTGTCTAAAAAGAATCATCATTACTTCGATAGTAAGACCTTCATTACAGGTTGTTAGTTTAACAGATGAGCTAATTAATTTATTTTATTAACTTTTATCAGCTATGATCCTAGTGCCAGTCCAGGTTCGTATTTTGATTCCTGAACGGGCTGAACCATGAGATGAGTGGTAAACCAGGCTCTGGCATATTAATCTGGTTTATATAAATGAAGGAGGTGTGATTAGATGATATTTGGTATGCCTTACTTCATCCAAATTTGATTTATTTTATTAATTTTGGCATTGTTTAATGTATTAAAGTGGAAGAGAGTGGCGACAATCAGTTGCTTGAAAGTCTTTCTTCCAGACTTTCTGTCTAGAGGCGGCGTGACATTCACAAAGCTTTCACACTTGTAAAAGTTGTATACGAGGTGAAAACTTAAGCCTTTCCAGATATGGAATGACGGTTGCCCTAGACCAGTCGCCTCACTGCGTTGTACAATGGCCACCAGACCAGTGGACTAATAGCTAAGTGCAAAGTACAACTCCTGTGAAACCAACATCTAGTATAGTGTTACTTATTATGGTTTGTAAAGAACTCAACTTCATGATTTTTTTAAAACCATTTTTGATTTTATGAATTAATTCCCCTTTTGCCGCTGATGATGACCTCTTGTGGTCGAAACGTGTTTGGCAGTAGTGTCTTTTTATAGTGTAATAGTTTGTTTGCTTATTTTTATATTCCATGGCTACATTAGTAGAGAGACGAGGCGTGCGTGGAAGGACGGTTACATCCTCCTTTATCTTTATGTTTCATAATTTTCTCTAATTTTATTCCTTTTGTGTTCAACTCTGCACTTTTTCTGCTTCCTTTGACTTCTTGGATTTCTACTTCTCTACCTTCGAACGAGGAGTTAGGACTAGATGTTAACATCTTGTATTCTCTTTACACTTGTTGCCACTTGAATATTTTCTTCTGTGGAGTTTATAACGAA